TTCTGTACTGATACCCATAGCTGATGAACTACCTTACATTAGTGCCTTCCAAAAGTGCCAAGAAAGTTCTATAAAGATGGTGGCAGAAATTAATATATTGTAAAGAGGCCCATGCAACCACCCCTACCCCCACCATTTCCCTCTTCTTGGCTATCAAAGTATCTGAAGAGTGGTCCATAAAGGAATTGGACTTTCCCATGGAAACTCACTCTGAGAGAAGGAGTCTAAATATTTATGCTGGTCAAAATAGGCACTTTTTTAAAAAAAATTAAGTTTATTCATTTATTTTACATTCTGACTGAAGTTTTCCCTCCCTCTTCTCCTCCCATTCCTTCCCCTACCTCCTTGTACCACTACCCTATCCACTCCTTTTCTGTTTTTGTTCAGAAAGGGGTAGGCCTCCCGTGGGTGTCAGCAAAGCATGGCATATGCAGTTGAAGTAGGACTAAGCTTCTCCTCTTGTATTAAGGCTGGACAAGGCAATCCAGTATATGCCAAACTGTTAGAGGCAGGCCCTGCTCCGACTGCAAGGAGTCCCACAAATGGACCACGCTTCACAGCTATCACACAAATGTAGAGGACATTAGGTCAGTTCCATGCAGGCTCCCTATTTGTCAGTCCAGAGTCCATGAGCTCCTGTGATACCAGGTTAATATTTCTGTGGCTTCCATTGTGGTGACCTTGATGCCCCTGGCTCTTATAATCCTTCCTCCCTCTCTTCAACAGGATTCCCCAAGCTTGGCTCAGTGCTTGGTTGTGGGTCTCAGCATCTGTTTTTATCAGTCACTGGATTATGGCTCTCTGATAACCAATGCGGTAGTCACCAATTGGCCAGGTGGTCAGTTCAGGCTGCTTAACCACTATTGCTAGGAGTCTTAGCTGGGATCTTCCTTGTAGATTTGTGGGAGCTTCCCTTGTACCAGGTTTCTACCTGACCCCCAAATACTCTTCTTTCATAGTAGAATGCATTTATTTTGCCTTAGTTTCTGAAAACTAAGTATCTGAAAAGTATTTGTAGATGTAGAACCCTGCATTAGTAGTTTCCCCTCTTTGTTTGCTGCTTTGAAAACACCATTCCTTTGCTTTGTGGTTTCATGTTCATTGATCTGTTTCTGATGAAAGCTTGATGGGCATTCATCTAATTCCCATGTACATCAATGGTCTTCTGTCCTGTGTTTCTATTTTTTCATTCATTACTATTAGCAAATTGGGCTAATGTGTGCATATAGTTCTCTTAGGCTTTATTCTGACTGAGGTCTGTTGAGCTTTTGGATTCCTTTAAGGAAATTTTGTAGGTAGCAAGGTGGCTCAACTGGTTAAGGTACTTTGTGCCTAGCCAGATGTTTGGTCTTAGGAGAAAAAGAACCCCACAAGTAGTCTACTGACCTCCAGAGGCACTCCATGTCACAAGTGCAAGCACACAAAGAATATGTAAGTAGCCTTGCCCTAGGTCCCTGAGTTCAGTCCCCAGAACCACAATAATAATGTTAGTATTAATAATAGTAACCAGGACCAAGGAGCTCCTCCAACAAATGTGAATTGAGTATCTATGGGTGCACATCTTTGCCAAGCATAGCTCTGTTAAAATGAAGTAGTTTATTGTAAAGAGCTGAAAACATTGCCTGACATACTGTCGGAGAGCAGATGTGTTAGATATCACTGTGATTAGTTATGTTTCCCAGGGAAGTTGCAGTTACTAGGGAAGCTTACTTATACAATAGGCTCTCAGATACCCATGATGCTCTCTGGGGTTCATGCAAATCACAAGCCCTAGAGCCATAATTGTGTCCCCAGAGGGAAAGACTTTCTCACTAAAAAATCTTAAACTGTCTCTTCACAGTTTTGTCTGTCTATCTATCTATCTATCTATCTATCTATCTATCTATCTATTATCATCATTATTATTATTGGTGTAGTCCTGGCTGTCCTGGAACTATGTATGGCTAACCTTGAACTAACAGAGATCTGCTTTCCTCTGCCTCCTGAGTGCTGAGATTAAAGGCATTCGCCACCACTGTCCCTCTAATTACTTCTTTTTAATTTTAATTAAAATATCACCACATCATTTCTCCCCTTCCCTTTCCTCCCTCCATTCCTGCCCATGTCTCCCCACTTACCCCTCTCAAATTGATGGCTTTTAAAAGGATTATTATAGTTCCTATATATGTAAACACATAAATACATAAATACAGTCTGCTGGGTCTATTTTGTTTCTTGACTATTTTCAAGGCTGGCCACTTAGTATTGAATAACCAGTGAGAGAGCTCCACTCTGGGGAAGACTAAGTCTCCCTCTCAGTAGCTCTTAGTTGTCTGTTGTTCTTTTTCTAGAGGTGGGGCCCCTTGAGATGCCCTGGTTCCACCTTGGCAGACCCAGTGGTTCCTTTTAAAACCATGTTTCCTGTGTGTTCTCCTGGGAACCTAGCGCCAGGCACCTAGCTGAACACAGCACTAGCCACTACAGAAACTACTAACTGGCACTTTGTGGAGCAGCAGAGCACCACCACGCAGGACCTGGGAGGGAGGGTTGGGATGAATGGGTAAAAGCTTGAGGGGCGGGGTGAGGGTGACGAGCTCTGCACACGTGATCAGAGGTGCTCCTGCTGACTGGTTCCACAGATAGGAAGCTACTTATAGAAACATTGACAGGGCAAGGGAGAACACCAGAGAGCCCAGCTGCAGGGAGGAGACAGGAGGGGAGTGGACAGAAAGGGATGGGGAGGGACTAAAGAAGGGATCGGTTTCGTGGGGAGCCTTTGGTAGTTAACACCCGGGACCTGCCCCAGCTCAGACTCTCATTCCTCAGAATAGCCGGCTCCAGTCCCAGCCATGCTCGCCACCGCGGGCTCCCTGGTGGCCGCCTTCTGGGCAGCGCTCCATCTCCGGACTCTGCTGCTGGCTGCCTTCACCTTCCTGTTCCTGGCTGACTATCTCAAAAACCGGCGCCCCAAGAACTACCCGCCGGGCCCGAGGGGTCTGCCCTTCGTGGGCTGCATATTCCAGTTGGACTTTGAGAAGCCCCACCTATCAATACAGCCGGTAGGATGGGCGAGGGGTGCCTACCTGGGTTCTGGCGTAATCCTGAGCTAAAGGAACAGAGGACATTTGGGGACTAGGACAGACGACCAGGTTCAAAGGCTGATGATGACAACTTGCGATCCCGAACCACAAACCTGTATCCTCGTTTAAGAAATACGCAGTTCCATTTTCAAATAGTTGGAGATTTTCTTACCCTTGTGTGAAGGGCTTTCGTTGTAACCCTGATATTGTCAGAGAACTCACTGTGTATGATTTTAATTAAGTCCAGGTGCATTAAAGGCATGATAATATACCTTGATAAATAAGCCTTGCCAATTTCAGAAGTGCGTGGGAAGGTGGTATGTCTGCTTACTTAAAGTGCCTGTAGAGGGAAAAAAAGTGTGTTTTTCTCTTGATTGGAGTTTTCTACAAGTATTAGTTCTCTCTTACTGATCCCTGTTTGGTCCTTCTACATCCTTGCTGACTGCTCACCTACTGATTTTATCAGCTCCAGAGAAAAATGCACAGAAATCTCAAGCTCCACTGGGAGTCTGTCTGTCTTTCCACTCAGTTCTGGGAGCTCTCCCCCTTGTATTGGAAAGACTATTATGGGTACATAGGACACATGTAAGACTGGCAGCTCTTTCTGGGGAATGACCATCTTACCATGTAATGTGCCTCTTTATCCACAGTCATTTTCTTTGCTTAGATAGTCAGATACTCCGGCCATGTTTGATTATCCCTGTCACTTTCCATTACATGTGAAGATTGTCCATGTCGGATTATTTATCACTATTTAAGGGTTTAAGCCCATACTTTTTCTTCCTTTTTCCCCATATCTTTTCTTCCATTTTCCCTTCCCTGTGTGTTTCTTGGACACTTTCTGAGTAGATGCCTTTTCATCCATCTACTCTCTCTTTAGACCTATTTTATTGTCCTCCCAGTCACTGCTCTGTGTTGGTCAACACTCCCATGCAGCTCCTGAGACTTTGCTAACACCATTTCCATGCGAAGTGAAGCAGCTACAAACAGGGAGGAGCCTTCTCCCCTCTGGGACACACTGCTCAGGTGTTGTCCCCACACTGAGACCCACACCAGACACTTCAGTGTCCAGTGCTGCTGGAACTCAAAGGCAGTGGAGTCTGTTGTCTTTGCCCCTTACTCACCCTCCATTGCTGTCTTTTTTCTGATCTTTTAAGTTTAGTTTCCTTTCTGACCTCAATCGCTTTCTTTCTCCATTCCTTCAGAGGAGGCCTTGGAAGAAGGTGACTTCTTCACTGTGCCCTCCTCAGACTGCCTCTCCCCTCCATTCCCATACTGTCTTTCCGGATGGCAGGACACTAGTTTGAAGATCTACAGCAGTTAACATTTTTAGATGTTTTCCCACTTCATTCTCACCTTTGTGGCTTCCGCACAAGTGATGGATTATTTTCTCTCTGCTTTCAAGAGATTTTCAGTTTGCACTTTCTATACTGATTGTGGTGATTTTGCTTAATTAAGCTTGTGGCTTTATGCTGTTGGTTTCTTCATGGCATGTTTGTATTTTGACAGACTAGAAAGTTGCAACCATTCTTCAAGAATTTTCTCATCTACACTTTGTCTTTCACGTTTTGGGGGGACAACTGTTTACTGAGGCACAACCATGATGACTCTGGTGTTGGGTCTTCCCGTTTGCCTTTTGCTTTCTCTGTGCAGTACAGGGTGGACCTGTTTCTCACATTACTAGACCCCTCTTCTAAAGCACACCCCCTAATTTATAAATAATTGTGATTACTTTATTATTGGTTCTGTTGGGATATTTATCATAACATTGAATCTAAGGTTTGTAGATTTGGAAACAGATACAGAAAATATCATTAATTTTCTCCCAAATCACACATGTGGTAAGAATCAGAATTCAGATTCAAGAAGTTCAGATGCCTCTCAATCCAATGTTTTGAGCCCCAATTTGTCACCTCTCCTGCAAAAACCCTTCAAATGTCTTAACTGAAACCAAGAGAGTCCACTTAATACTTCTACTTAATGCTTTTGGTGGTGAAACTTCATGTCCTAAATGATCCTGGCCTAAAAGGTAAGTCCTAAAAGCAGCCTTGCTGTCTATCTAATTTTTCTCCTAGTAGATATTTCTTCCAGGAGTCTACCACTGATCCTGGTCCTCTCAGGCACTTTCTAGCTTTCCCTCATCAAATAATTGATTGCTCCCTGGCAACAATAAGGACTGCTTTGACTTGCATGTTGCATAGGATTGTGAACTTCTTGAAGTTGAGGACTTTGAATTCCCTACCACTTGGCCCTGACCTTTGGCTGGCTGTTCTCTAGTAAAACCTTTCTTCTGGTGGGACTGGATAGCCCCTATGCTTCTGCACATTCTCATTTTTTGGATCTGTACTGCATGATATCACAGTATGAGCATTTTGACCTTCACACTATATATGTTTTCTGATAACCTCACCATTTAATACTTGGTTACAGCACCATTTCCCTTTACATGTTTTTCCTCTTCATCTCAGTTTCTAACAGGACTATAGCAGATGTCATCTTAGGCTATGCATTGTACATTTTTCTGCACAGTCAGCATCTCTCAGAAGACAACCAATGAAACTGTTACTCTGAAGAGGAATTAATATACAAAGTAGTGTACACAATTGTGCATAAATGAGTTAATGTGCACTATAGCATTATAGTGAAGAGCGGATATATACTCGGACATTTCGAGGGATACTGTGGCGTTCTATACAGTCTAAAAGCCACTGTTATCAAGCTTTGTTTCTTATGCCCACAGATTTACTTTATGTTTCTTTATTGAACAGAAAATGATTGTCCATCTTAAAAGAAATATATACTATGTTGGTTAGTTTTAGTCAACTTGACAAAACATAGATATTACCTGGGAAGGAGGGAACCTAAGTTGAGTAGTTGTCTCCATCAGATTACCATGTGGGGCATTTGTTTATGGCTGTTAATTAATATAGGAGAGCACAGTCCACTGAGATGATGCCATTCCTGAACTTGATGATAGAATATAACTTGTAAAATTAAACACTTTCTTCCCAAATTGCTTTTGGTCAGTTTTTTATCACAGCAACAGAAAGAAAACTAAGACATGTACATATTAAAAGAAACAGATAAGAACACAATTTAGCAAAAGATAGAACTACTTCTCTGCATACCAGGCCATTAGCAACTACACTTATGCACACATACACTTACCCACTCAGAAGTAATTTCATAACTTGTTCATCTATATTTCCATATTTGATCATAATAAAAATAAAGTTATAATCCAGGCAGTGGTGGTGCACACCTTTAATCCCAGCACACGGGAGGCAAAGGCAGGTGGATCTCTGTGAGTCTGAGGCCAGCCTGGGCTACAGAGTGAGCTCCAGGAAAAGCACCAAAGCTGCACAGACAAACCCTGTCTTGAGAAACCAAAATAATAATAATAATAATAATAATAATAATAATAATATAAAAATAAAGTTATAATGCTGCTCTTCATTGAAATTCTCCATGTTAGTGGGTGTGTTCTACTTATCAAAAGAGAAAAAAATGAGTATCACATACAAAAATGCTTAAGAGATGCAAACAAGTTACTGTTACAAAAAAAATGTAATAACCATGAAGTTCAAAAGAAAGGGCAGGGGTTCAGTTAGCAAAGTGTTCACCATGCAGCAATGGGAATATGAGTTCAGTTCCCAGAACCTATAAGAGTGTGGTATGTTAGCCTGCCTTAATAAACTCAGGGACAGGAGGCAAAGACAGGCAAAGCCCCTAAGTTCATTGGCCAGCCTGCCTAGCCTGCTCAATGCTAATGAAATACACTGACTCAAACAAGCACATAAACAAACAAACAAACAAGGTGAGCAGCTCTTGAAAACAATACCTGGGGTTGACCTCTCTCTTCTCTCTCTCTCTCTCTCTCTCTCTCTCTCTCTCTCTCTCTCTCTCTCTCTCTCACACACACACACACACACACACACATCTGAAAGAAAAATGCTAAACATGCAGTTCTTGTTCTTGTACCAATTAGGAAAATACACTCACACACACACACACACACACACACACACACACACACACACACACACTGACACATACACAGATCACTACACAGAGCTGTAAGGATTCAGGTTAACAGATTTGCTCATATATCACTAGTGAGAGAGGGAATTGGATGCCATTTTTTCTTTTCTCCCCTAGATGCCCTTTTCTGTTGCTTCTAAAGGACTTCAATAGAATCGTTGTGTCATTTGTCTTCATGGATCATTTATCTCACTAATCCTTAGCTTCTACTTTCTCTTTATTCAAAGCATGCACTCTGCCCCATTTTGTTCTTCAGCAATCTACTTGGAGATTTAGTTCTGCTATTAAATTTTCTGTCTCCTATTTCTTTTGTTAAATTCTATATCTCTTATTTCAACCCATTGTTGTTTATTTTCCTATTGTTATTTTCAAATTTTAACCCCGTTTTACCCCTCTGAGCCACCTTTAAAAGAACAGCTCTGTTTTAATTTTTCAAATGACTTACTCGGTATGCAGTGAAAACTATGCTCTGCCTTCCTTATGTCATATGCCCAAATGTCTTCTCAGTCATCTAATACACATGAAACAATTGGCAGACAGAGCTGGCACAGTTGAGAATTGTAAGGGTCAGGACCTGCCTATCTTCACTTGTTTCACAACAGGATAAAATTTATTGATCCACTTGTGTTGAACTAGAAATGTACATGGGCAGAGAGTTGGTAAAGATGGAAAGAACATTGACCTTAGTACCTAGTCTCAGATGCTAGATCCCTCTCCAGTACAAGTAGAGAATCTGTATTGCTACTTAGGATACAATTAAGCCATATTTCATAAGTTGTTCCCAAAACTTCTTTGTTGAGTTTGAAAGTTAGTCAATAAATTCTTATATATGCTAAAGACTCACCTACACATTGGTCAAGATGAAATTATTTTTTTTCCTTGTTTGTACATATCTATTACTGGCATCTCTTAAAGGAAAAGGCATACACTTGTTGGCTCTGCATTAAGATCTAGAGAAAACAGATTGTGTTACAAGTTAATGAAGTTAGCAAAGACTCTGGATAAGGAACAAAGGAAGTACGGAGTCTAAGGCTCTATCTATAATATTGGTACAAGATCCTGTCATGAGACCAAATCATTACATTTGCTTTGACAGGGTCCACAAAGGTCCAAGGCTTTGTGACTGATATGATAGGACACAAGTAAATGAAGGTAAGAGTAGGACAGAGGACCACAGGTGCCTGGAGTAATTGAACCCTTCCGTTTGGTACCACTGACAAGATTCAGGGTGACAAAAAAGCAGAGTGGGTCAACACAGGGCTGATTTGTAAACACACGGGTGGAAGGATCTTTGAAAAAGATCACACACTCTCATCCACCTTTGCATCTTTGTGGGTGGTCTCATTCTCTCCAGCTCCCTCTTCTTGCTCTCCAAACTCTGTCCCCTACACCTCCAAGCCTGGTCTCCACTCCAAGTCCTGTAGAAATCCAAAGGTCATATTTTTCTACAGATGTACATAACGTTTGCCAGAGTCCCTCTACCAGGCAGGAGCCTTTTTGTTGGCTACATTACTTCATTTGCAACTTGTTTCCTCTTTAGAAAGATGATGAAAATTCTAACTATGGTAGAATAGTTAAAAGAATGAAGGAAAGCATAAAGCATACTGAGTACCCACTCAGTGAGTGTGGCCATCTGGGGACTGTTGGGTTCTTGTCCTGGCTATTACCAGGCATTTGTATCCCCAGGCCTTTGAACACAGAGCTCATTCATTTCTCAGAGATGCAGTGGGTGGATGGGTGCCTGGAACTAAACAAAGTGTTTCTCATAGTGCCATTCTCATTCTTCCCCACAGAACTCTTTGAAGGGGAAGTAATTTTTACTCTTTTGCAACTGGGGGTTTGAGATTTGGAAGAGAGTACCTGCCCCAAGAGTCTAGTTAGTTATCCATAGACCCTATATGCTTATATTGCCTGTGGGGTGAGGGGCCCTCTCTCCAAGCACTTAAGTTTAGCCCTAATGTTGGGGAAAACTCTGTGAGACAAAGTGGGTCATAAGGAGCTGCCTGTCCTCTGGGCTTTCAGGATCTAAGCTATTATATTGAAGAAGAGCCTTAGTAAGCCATTCTAAGAAATGAGACAGATTTTTGTCCTTATCTTGAATTACATTTTTTAGCTTTTCATAGTTTACTGGCTTTAGGGAAGCCTTATGGAGGCCTGCCACAAGGCAAGTGATAAATCTATCCCTGGCTAGAGACCTGCCCTAGGTGTTATAATCCCAATGTGGGTCCTGATAAAGAATCACCTCAGTCCCTGGAAGGTATGCGGGGTTGGCTTAGTGAACTTCATCTGCATGTGTCCTTGCCTGCTCCCAAACTGGCCTGCAATCCTCAGGAAGTAGGTTATTAGCAAGTATCATATATACATCATAAAAGGTGAGACTATAAGATTGGGAAATATATTGGAATTGTTTAATAAAGGAAGCAGAATTAGAGGTATAGTAACCCAGTTTCTTTTCTATCTGAGAGAGTTCTACAAGAGAGAATGGGACATGAACCTTAACCAGTCCATCCACCCCAGCCACCTCTTGCAAAGGGATAATGGTTGGCAGGTAGGAATGGCTGGGGTCAGACCCTTTAGCATTCCTAGAAGAGGTAGTGGGAGGTGTGAGGGTTGGAGCCAGAGTCAGGCCTTTGAGAGTGTCCAGTACCAAAGAAGAAGAGAAAGCCAGAGGAGGAGCCTGTAGGGGCAGGTGCCCTGGGAGCAGGAGTAGGAGTGGAAAGTCAGATAGGTGGAGGGTCATTTGCAGGGTCCAGAGTCAGAGATTCTGGAGTCAGAGGTTCACCCGGTTCAGGGTGCATAGCTAAGAGCACGTAGGCAGGAGAGAAGGAATTGAGAAGAAAAGGTTTAGAGCTTAGATAGAAAAAAGCCTGAATATAAGGCAACTCTTTCCATTTGCCTGTTCGCTGGTTAGATAATTCCCGTAAAATACCGAGGTCTAAGGAACTGCTTGGTGGCCATTTTTTCTTATTTTCTAAGACATATTTGTGTCATTTCTTAGTACAGAGGTGGACAAGCTTAGAAGTCTTTAAGTAAGGCATTAAGCTGAGAGGTTTTAGAGCTTCCAGAAGGCATCCTAGGGGAGCGGTGGGACTGGTGGGGTTGGAAGACTTATTTCCCATGTCTGCAGCAGAGAGAAAAAAATAAAATAAAGAATGTGGTCCAAGGCCCAAGCCTCAGGCGTCCCTGAGGTCAAGGATGGATCTGTAAACAAGCACAAACCACCACAACGCTTCGTCAAGCAGGGGCCGGGGCCCAAGGCATGCGCAGGTGGGGATCCCCTGGAGTCCAACAGCATTTACTACTTCACCAAGCAAGAGAAATGTGTCGACCTTAGACAGCCTGAGGACGCAGCCTGAAGATGGGGTTCAGACAGTGAGAATTATATCTCAAACTGCAGACATGGGAGATGGCTAGAAATTTTAGCCTGTGATAGGGACCGACTGTAGCCAGGGAAGGTCATGGCTAGGGGTACCCCCAGTCTCAGGGACACCAGAGGGACGCTGGACATTCGATGGTCCATTCCCACAGGTACAGAGACTGTTGACACTGGTTGGGGGGGGGGGGACGGGACTCACCAATTGCAGCAGTTGGTGTTGTGTGCAGGAATCCAGAGACCAGGCAAATGGAAAGTAGACTGTCCTGGATGGAGCAGAACTTGGGCACAGGTTCCCAGGTGCAGAGCACTAGGAGAGCCTGCTTTGCACGCCACCAAATTTTGGTTTTATGCAGCACTTTTATCCTGTGAGGAAAAGTCACAAAACACAACAGAGTTTTATTAGGAGGAGAGAAGAACAGGATATGATCAGGCCTGTGGGAAAGACACATGAGGAGGAGGGGGAGGGTACATGGCATTCACCTTTTAAGGACTACTCCACGCATGCACACATGGGCCCACGTGACTACTCTACACATGTACATAGATTATGTGATCACGCTGCACACAAATTACGTGACCATGCAGTACATGCATTACATAGGACATACGACCCCGAAATGAGTAGGCGGAAATGAGTAAGTGTCTCGGCAGGGCATACGCGATTATGGGGGCGTGGCTAGAAGCCCTATCATACATCACTCAAGATCTTCAGAATTGTCTCCCCCGCTATCTTCAACCCTTTATTGTATTCGTCATATCCAGCAAGGTTTGGGGATGGCACATCTCCTTTGCCTAAACTGATGCTGGATATTGTAATTAACTAAGGATTCCATGGTTGCTGTATCAGACTTGTATACATACATCTCTATCTTTTTTTGGACTGATGTCCTTTATTCTCTGCCTCACTGGGTGCCAAAATGTTTCAGTTACAGCCTTTGATGTCTTTGAAACACTTGCATCTTCTTGAGTTAGTCTAGGAACAAGTTGATGCTCATTTGGTTCATGTTGCTAGATATATGATTGAAAGATTTATGAGGCAATTTCTAATCCTGAAATTAGTTGGAGTTTGGTGGAGAGGAAAAAGAAATCAAGAACATTCCAATTACACCATGGTACCTCTTCTATATGCAAATGCACAGAGTTTTCTTAGTGTTTATCCCATTAGTCATACATGTACATCTCATGTCTAACATGTATTGATGAGTGTGGGGTTTTATTTTCTGATTAAACAGACAGCTTGATCTACTAGGAAGTCCATACAATCTGTACCAACATCAAAGCTATTCCTTGGCCTTTGTCAGGTCAAATGTGTCACATGTCTCCTTTCATTAAATTTCAAGATGCTCCAGATCAAGATTTTGCTTCTTTGTTGAAACATATCCTTATGTTCTCTTCTGGCTTGAGTGTTAGGTGCACAGTCAATTCATACAGACTTATACTAATGAACTTTTATAGAGTACATTTTTTTCCAGATGTGAATTTGAATTTAGTGTAGTGGAGGAAAACACAATTCCAAGAACATTTCCACAGACAAAGGTACATCTCCCCACTCACAGGAACCTCTCAACATGAATCCCATTAACTACACACATGCTGGCCATCCCTGGAGACACAGACACAGGCACACTTAACTGAAACTATTGATATATTTTTCAGTTTGTGAAGAAATATGGCAACATTTTTAGCCTGAATCTTGGTGACATTACTTCCGTGGTCATAACTGGACTGCCCTTAATCAAAGAAGTCTTTACTCACATGGAACAAAACATTTTGAACCGCCCTGTCACTCTTATCCGAGAGCGTATCTCTAATAACAATGGTAAGTTTATTGAGCAACATGGAGTGTTTATTATAGTGTTTATGATGTGTTAAAAGTACCTGTCTCTAACTTTCCAACACTCCCATAAACCAATCTCATCATGAATTGCCATATTTAAAAGAAGTGGAATGTCACATTTCCTGAAGGAAAACACCCATCAGAGGACATAACAATGCCATCCCTAATAGACATTGAGAGAAACCACATGTCTTGCAAAAACTAACTCTAAATATGTTGGTGAGGAAGAACCATAGCATCCAACCACAGCCAAACATACTGTGTTCTTACTTCCGTTTTTCCATGCCAACCCTCTGTCTTAGGAAAATAGGTATAAGTCACCCTCCTCCTTCTGCCACCCTTCTTATTTATGGCTTCTTCTACTACATTATTAAAGCCATGCAACATAGGGATCTACAGCCTTCCTGATAGGATTAGACTAGAATAGTGTGAGTACTTAATATTGTTATTAAATCAAGTTGCATGTTCCAAAATTGAAAGCAGAACTTCAAGTGTACTAACCTATTAAGACATCAGTTTTAGACATTTCCTAATTACTCCTTGAGGCAATCAATCATTAATTGTACATAATTAACTATGTTATCTGTTATAGGAAACACGGTGCTAATCTTGAGTGATTAACAATGCACGTAATAGATTAAAATTTCCATCTTTACATAACATATACTCCATCAAATGAAAAATGCTGAGCCAATTAGCTAATTAAAACCACACTAGACCACAATGGTAAGGGGAGAAGGCATTTATCAGTATCAAAGTTCTACTGGGATTCAGGTAAAAACTTCTATAAGTAAGGACACTCATTTAATAACATTGAAAAATAGTCAATGGGAACAGAATACCCATGAAATAACAAGAACGATTGGGGCCTCAAGAAACTGAAAGATGTCCAGTGTGGAAAGCATAGTATGTAAAGGAAAATTAAGTGGATACAAACTGATGATCTTGTCTAGGAAGAGCGAGCCCAGATCTTGGTTTTCATCCTAACAGCAAGAATGATGTTGAGTAGAAAAGATCACACACTGCACATTCTGAGGCTCATTTAGGTTCTCAGTCAGAAATCAGGAGAAAGACAGTATGAAATTATCATTGTAGGTTAGAAAAAGTGGGATTTTGAAAATTCAGTCAAGAAACGATAGTTGATTAGACCAGGATGGTGACACTGAAGACACATGGACTGACACCACTCAAGAGAGAAACCACATGAAATAATAACCTAGACAGATGGCAAGAGAATGAGGCTTGTGGGGGACGGCCAGGGATGGCTCCTCCAAGAATGGGTGATGCAGAGAGGAACAATGACAGGTGACAAGGTAGTGACAATGGTGCTAGCTTCTGTTGGGAGTTTCAGGAATGATAATAATTTCTGTCCCAGATGTGCTGAGTCTAAATGCCTTTAACTGGCAAAGCCAAGAGTGTACATCTTCTGTAACTGTCAGTAGAGGATATTTAAATTGTAGAAATAATAAGATTTCCTAAATAGAATATGCAGTGAGCAAAGAGTAGGCTAATCTTGAAAAACTCCTATGTTTCAAAAGTTGGCAGAAGAAAACAAGCTGGAAAAGGTGGGAAATTTGTGGCAAAGAATTAGGACAAAAATCCAGAACAGCAGGATCCCAGGTGCTAACCAGGAAAGGGTTTCAGGAAGGAAGTGACTGAGTTGCTGAAAGACCAGGCTGGTGATGATGAAAGGGTCCCCTGATGATGTGTGGGGAACAGAGAGACCAAGGCTTATGTTTAAAGAGTTGAAGATTTCTCTGAAAGTTAAGAAATTGGCTTGCACATGGCATTGAATGTGCCATGAAATAGGTGATAAAGGCTGGACACACTGGAATGTTCATCTCTTGTTCTTTCTGTGTGGAATATTCATGCTTCTTTCCTTATTGATTCATTTTTTTCCCATCTTTTAAAGCTTGTATTGACTAGGAACTCGCTTACAGAGCTTTTCTTAACTCTTTAATTTATGTGCATTGTCTTATCCTTTAGTCCATTCCTGTTATTCAACTTAACACAACTAAGTAGATTTTTGTGTTAGCATTGGAGCCAAAGGGTGGGAATTTGAACACTTGGTTGTCAAACAACTGTGCTTCCTTGAAAAGTTTAATTTATTATGTATTCCTCGTGTCTTTGCAGCAGTGGGAATGGACCTATTGCTGGTTGGTAATAAACATGCAGAGTTCCTAAGAGAAGTGGATCATGTAATACATAAGCAATATCGGTGTGTGATGTTGCAGATTCCCCAAGACATGTTAGCAATCATGCTTCTTGCTTTGGGTTATTCTCTCTAGACAGCTGTCAAGCTCCTTATTGGCCCTTCTGCTTCCATCATACCCATGCCCAGCCAGTTTCTCAGGTAATTTTAGATCAGCATCACAATGCTATAACTCTGAATCTCTTCTTTCCAGGGTTGGTCTTCTCCAGTGGCCAGACATGGAAGGAACAAAGAAGGTTCGCCCTGATGACACTGAGGAACTTTGGACTGGGAAAGAAGAGCTTAGAACAGCGCATGCAGGAGGAGGCCCAACACCTTGTGGAGGCCATAGAGGAGGAGAGAGGTGGGCATTTCACAGGAAGGTGCTGGAGGTTGTGGCCCTTTCATTCATTGAACAGATTCTAACTAAGTGTCTAAGTGCTTGTCCTGGGCCCTGCACTATGCTGAGTACTGAGAATTGGGCAGTGAATGTGTAGCCATAACTCTGTTCAAGGAGTTCTGCAGCTAAGCACAAAAATGGTGAATAGACATACTGCTGCACTTAAGACCTAGTCATCAGTCTGACTTCCTATGTATTAACAGAGTCCTTGGAGAATGTCAGCCCTATGTAGTATGCTCTGATCAGAGCCTCTTACATGGTTCACTACAATGTGTGTTTCCTGTCATATCAAGTTAATTTAGTATAGGAAACAGAAACAAATGAATAACCTTGAAGAATTCATGTCTCCATATCATCTCCAGGACAGCCTTTCAACCCTCATTTTAATATCAACAATGCAGTTTCCAATGTCATTTGCTCTGTTACCTTTGGGGAGCGCTTTGAGTACCAGGACAGTCAATTCCAAGAGATGCTGAGGCTGCTGGATGAGGCCACATGTTTGGAGACATCAATTGGGTGCCAGGTAAGCACTCTTCTTTGCATATCTTTACAGAGTAGGGCATTTTAAAGTTAATATTTAAAATTTTAAATGTTGAGTTTGATCCAAATATATTTCAAATCCACCTCTTGACGTTGATGTTTTTGTTAGTAAAGAAACAATATATACAAAATATTTCTAACATTTATTTGAACTATTTTAATATTTATATTGGTCTATATACCTGCATATGGAATGCTGGTATCTTTTGCATAAGGGAAATGTTATTGTTGACTTAGACTCTCTTTTCCCATGCCACTTTCTTTCTGCCTCAGAGTCACCTTCTGAAGGAACTTTCTAGCACATCACCTTGTTTTGAGATTCATCTTTGTACAACATTCCTTGTTATTTACCGACTAGCAGTACACTGGCTGAATGTGTTGTTGTTTTATCCCAAGTTATATAAAAAAAGTTGTTCCTAGGTGTAGGGTGTTATGAATAATAGTTCCATATCAGTGTCCATGTGACACCCTCATTTGTCTTATATTTGCATCTGGATATCTGCAAGATAACTAAGGACTCAGAAGTGTGCACTGTCCCCATACCCATCAACGCAATGCTGTCAGTCTAACACTAGAGATTATAAACCTTTGAGGTTCAAATGTCACCTCCAACTATGCCCCATTTTCCATGACTACTTCTTATAGCCATTCAAATACTCTCCACGGCTTGTTGGTCTGTCAGCCACACCCATGTGAGAAGTTGTAGTGTGACAGTTGTAGGGTGAAATTAGCCACAAGTGCTTGATTTCATCTGCTAGTCCTGCTGCAGTAGTTCCCTAACTACTTTGGGGTATATGCATTTGAGGATGTGTGTATGTGTATGTTTGTGTGTTTTTTTCAACATTTTTATGACATTTTATTTAGTGTGCATACATGCACATGTATACATTGTTTACATGTGTGGGTGCACACAGGTCAGAGAATAACTTTAGGGAGCAGGTTCTCTCCTTCCATCATGTATGTACCAGGAATGTAAGAGAGAGAGAGAGAAAGAAGGGAGGGAGGGAGGGGGAGAGAGAGAACACCTTTTTTTACAATTGTTATGATTTCTTAATTGTTCCCTTTATGTAATATCATTATCATTTCCTACTCTTTGGATTTAAAATCTGTTTTAGCAGATATCAGAAATTGTTTTCCTTTCTTTGATTCTTAATTTGTGGTTATCTTTACCAGTAAGATGTATTTCATAGAGACAACACAAACTTTGATCTAGGTTTTGAATTTGGTTAGCAAGTCTGTGTCTCCTTTTGGTTTGTTGGAGCCTTTTACATTTAAGATGATTATTGGACCATACCAACTAACTACTTGGCTAGATTATTTATACATTACTTTCTTCCATATTACTACTAGGGGTTGCTTGTTTCTGTATTAGACACAATGGATTCTTCCCTTGCTCTCATTTGCTCAGCCATTCTTCACATGAAATTTATTTTTTCCTGTGTTCTCATAATTGGAATTCTTTTTCTTCTGTGTATAATATTCTATTAGTCACCTTGGGTATTTCTGGCTTAGTACCCCTGAATTGCCTTGGTTTGCACTTTTCCTGAAATGTCTGTGTTTCTTCATCAGTTTTAAAAGATAGCAATTCTGGGTATAGGGTTCATGGTTGGCAGTTACTAACTTTCAGAGAATAATCTGTGCCATCTCAAGCTTTCTTGGCTTGAGGATTGATGAGCAATTTGATATTATAATTTTTATGACTTTGTATGTGAGTTGATGTATTTCCTTACAGCTTTTGTATTTTTTGGCATCTTTAGCATATCATGGAGGCACTTTCCTCTGGCCTGTTTATTTAAGGATCTAAATACCTCTTCTATTTGAAAAATCTATTTCTATCTCTAGATTTGGATAAATGTTTACTGTAAATGCATTGAATTGATTCTCTATATACTTATTGTTTATCCCAGATCCTTGGTTTCTTATCTGGGATCCTGGGGTCTTGTGGCTACTTATATTTAGTTTCTGACTGTATCTCTAAGTTCTAAGACATTGTGGTCATGCTCATTATTTTCCCTAATAGATATTTGAGTGAAGTGTGTCCTCAACATTGTGCACCATTCCTGATAGATAGTCTTCTGAGTAGTTTAATCTATTGGTGATGGTTGTTACCATTTGTTTCTGATTCACTGAGCTATTAATTTTCAACATTTCCATTTTTTTAAATCAAAACCTTAGTTCCCTTGCAGCATGTGTCTTCTATTTTGCCGACTTTCCCCTTTCTATTGTTGACTTTCTTCTCAAGGTCCTTTATTGAATTCATTTGCTTGCTTATGTCCTCCAAGTCATGGATCATTTTTACTAGAAAACTTTTGTAACTTTTATGTAGCATTGTATTTGTTTCAGTATCTTTGAGTTCATTAGTTCAGGAGTTTGTGATTTTTAGTGGCATCCTCCTGGCTTGTATTTCCATATTTCTTGTGTTTCAGTGCTACACTTTACACTCTCTTGGACATCTCTTCTGGAATGTGTGGAGATAGCAGTTGTGGATGTTTTAACTTTCCATGCTTTGGGTACATAATGGTTCCAGGGAGAATGAATTTGAAACACAGATGCTATTCCTTCAAAAGTTCATTTTCTCTTTAAGACCTTCTGTTTCTATGTATCGACTTCTTTATAATGCACCCCAAAATGGATTTATTCTCACTTATCCCCACATTCATTTTCTCTTCAAGTTCAGGGATGCCCTCACCAAAAACTGAGAAATTAATTAGCATGACTTATAGGTATGAAAATAGGCATAAAGAATAAGATGAGTTGCACTTATTGTCTACATTATTTCTGTGTTTTAACTCTTAGTCGTGGTAGTTTGAAGCCCAGCAGTTCCATTGTTTTCCTTCTAGTAAGCAGAGCCAAGGAAGTCAGGGGAGTTCAGTGAGTACCAGACTCACTTCTGGGTGTGGATATCAAGGGGGAAAAATCTTAGAAGAGAGCAAAGAGATGGCAGAGAATGTTAATAAACATTTTTAGAATGACTGATTACATCAGGTGCTGTGATAGACAACTGCAAAAGTCCATTCATTTTTATTATGCTCTTCTACATATAAAATGATGTAATATGATGTCTGCAAGCAGGTACAGAGTTGTGCAAACAAATATAAATAGTAGTCCACCAGACTTCTGTGGAATACTTTGTGTGTCTCATGCCATTTGGTGTTCAGATACAGGCCCCATTAGCATGCTGTGTATTAGCAATCTACTTTTCAATAATACTAACATTATTATTATTGTTATTATAACTGCTACAACTTATACCCAGGAAGTAGCAGGTGTAAAAATCACACCCATGTCTGTCTGATTCTTTTTTTTTTAATTTTTATTTTACAATACCATTCAATTCTACATATCAGCCATGGGTTCCCCTATTCTCCCCCCTCCCACACCCTCCCCTTACCTCCAGCCGACCCCCCATTCCCACCTCCTCCAAGGCAAATCCTCCCCCGAGGACTGCAATCAACCTGGTAGACTCAGTCCAGGCAGGTCCAGTCCCTTCCTCCCAGACTGAGTCAAGTGTCCCTGTTTCAAACAGCCAACTCATGCAATGAGCACCTGTCTGATTCTTAATCTTGTTGATTTTGCATTGTGATATGTTATCTGTTCACTATGAATTTTATTAAAACATCATTAAAATTCACTCTACTTCAGTTAAGATTGCAGTCTTACCATATGGTGATTAAATCATGCTGGAGACACCAGGATGTACAGTTACCTGCACAATACATGTTATTGGTAATTTCCCTGAGGGAAAGTAAGTCATGACAGAGAACTTGAAAGGTGAAAAAATGCCTGTCGTTTAAGAATAATCAGGCAAAGGATCTCCAAGGAGACTTGATCACTGCCTTCACAGAGTGAAGGGCAAGGTTATAACAATTGCAGGAACACTTTTTAGGCACAATGAATGGTGCCTACTAGGGCCTAACACAGAAATGCCCTCAGTTTTATCTCAAAGGTTGCTGTAGTTGGAGTGTTTAGAGAAACTGGGGCAATGATGAAGATCTGGGGATTCCCTCTCGGTAGGACTTACACTTAAAAAGCGCTATGTCTGACTCTGAGTCTATGGACAGTCCTTGAATATTGAAAGTCAGAGTCAAACATGTGGTCACATTGATGAATATTCTTTCTGGAAACTGTATGCAAAATAAGTTGTTAAGGCGTTGATAGTGTCATCAATAAAAATGTTGAATGCTATCCCAACATCCAGAAAGAAATGATGTTGTGTAGCAGGTAACAGGCAGTTGAGCTAGTAAGAAGTGGTCTAAAGTTCAGTATACTTGAGGTGAAATGTTTGTCAGGTAAATGAAAGGGAAAACAGAAGCTGGCCTCACAATTTCGCAGTAAGAAATAATGGGAAAGACAAGACTCTATCTTGAAACATTGTAAAGTGGCACCACGGCATCTCCATGACTGTCTTATTTTTCCCAATCAGCTCTACAACATTTTTCCATGGATAATGAAATATCTTCCTGGATCACACCAAACAGTTTTCAGAAACTGGGGAAAACTGAAATTGTTTGTTTCTGATATTATTGACAATCACCGCAAAGACTGGGACCCAGATGAGCCGAGAGACTACATTGATGCTTTCCTCAAGGAAATGACAAAGGTGGGGAAGATGTCATTGCCTCTTCTTCTTAAAGACAACATAGTGGCTTAGTCATTTTCAAATGTTCATGCAGCAGGCTGCCACACCATTAGTGCTTTAACATGACACAGGTTTATTCTCTTGCAGTGCTCAGCATCTTTTCTTCCTGTTAGCCGCACAGGGTTCTTTTAAAGACCATGGAAACTATATGACCCTGTATTTCCAAGTTCCTAGAGCTAATAGCATTTTTTGTTTGTTTGTTTGTTTGTTTGTTTTTCAAGACAAGGTTTCTTTTTGTAGCCCTGGCTGTCTTGGAACTTGCTCTGTAGACCAGGCTGGCCTCGAACTCACAGAGATTCACCTGCCTCTTCCTCTTGAGTTCTGGGATTAAAGACGAGCACCACTATACCTGGCTATGAGGGCACTGATCTTTTGCTGTGGTTTTTCCCTCTATTTCAATGCTCAAACTGTAGCATCTCTTTTCCTCTGTCTATTTTGTTGTGATCTTCAAGCACCTTCTCATAAGGATAGTTAAAGATAATTGTCCCCTTTCAAATGAATCAGTATGCTTTGCATGGCAGAGTATATTTTGCATTATCAAGTAGCATATGAAGGTTCCAAAATTGAAGATAGACATCCTTATATATCAATGCTTCACATACCCCATGTGAGTGAAAATTAGTAGTAATATTAACTCAAGAGTGTCATTAGAAATAAAGGGTTCCCTGCCTGTAAATGACAGATACTTCCCTTTCATACCCCTCCTTGCCTTTTACCCTTTTTTACCCTTTATTTATGAAGGAATTATAGACAAAGTAAAAGTAGCAATTAAACATCAGAGCTCTGTTTCTGATGAGTTGATCTAAGGCCAATTATTCACTCGCTCTCAGCCCCAACTGCACGACACAGGCAAAGTTCAACTGATGGCTGGAGTTTAACTTCAAGGTCTGCGTGGGACATCTGCCTTCCCATGATTTCTTATAAACACCATCCAATCATACACAAGCAGACAGAAAGCAGCTGAATGGATGTATTTGATACTTTTGTATCTTCTGACAACAACAGGCAGAAACAATTTAAGATGTTGAGTGTTTATTTTGTTGCATATTTTCAAGGGGTATTGGTCCATCATGAAGGAGAATGAATGGGAAAAGGATGTGGTGGAGCCTGTTTATGTCATGGTAGATCAGAAAGCTAAAGCTAGCCCGGACCCAGGACTTGGATGCAACCACAGGAATTCCACTTCTAGTGACTGACTTCCTCCACTTGGCCCCCACCTGCCAATGTTCCAGAATGTCCTAAAATATTCCCAGCAGCTAGGAATAAAATATTCAAAATTTGAGCCTGTAGGGATCAGTATAGATCCAAATTATAACACTTTTGTTAATGCTCTGGCCTCAATAGACTCCTGGCAAATACACATCACTGAATCCTTTCTGTGAGCATTGACACATTAGATTATGAATTCCCTTTCTGCCTAGGGGCACATTAGTAAATTTCTTCCCTTGTATTATCATAGTTCATCTTCCTGGCATAGTATCAATAGAAGCAACATTTTATCCCTAGAAAAAAGGGGGCAAATTATTCACTATATGGTGTGCAGTTTTGAGACCATCAACATTATAAGCAATATAAACAATGATGTTTATAGAGAAAGTAAGTGAAGATGGAATTGTATCCCAAAGAATAGTTGATGGAATCAGCAAGGTTTTGCCTATGAAAGATTAATGGGGAGATCAAAGAATCAATAAACACAAAATTCACTTGATTCCTTCTGGGATCAGCAAAAACATTTGTAGAGTATTTGATATGTGTCCGTTGTATCTTCTACAGTTGATATGACATATTAAAATATGTATGTTGTTCTCTTCATATAAACTGAAGCAAATAAACATGAAGTGAACCTCTTATATCATATAATCTTAGTGATATGGCTGATACTGGAAGCCAAATGTGTGTGTGTGTGTGTGTGTGTGTGTGTGTGTGTGTGTGTGTGTGTGTGTGTTTATCCTGTTCTGTTCCCATCTTGCTAAAGCTTTTCCAAAAACATAGTCACAAGGAAATTGTTGTCTTGATATTCATCCACCCATGTACCAGCTGTTTTAGTTCAGCCTCTAGGACGTGGAGCATGAAAATGTTTCCTAAGGAGATCAAAGTAATATCATTTCAAATGAGTCCTTCTGAACTCATTCCCCAGGGTAAAGAAGATCTTATGTGTCAATATCTTTGCACCAGGAGCACGATATTGCTCATGATAAAGCTGCTGGCTGAGGAGGTCAAGAGGAATATCACTTTAAATGACTGCTTCCAAATTTGTTCCCCAGAGTCAGAACCTGTTGTGTTGAGATAATCACAAACCGTCTGACTAAATAAGTACACATTGTCTTTTCCAGTACCCAGACAAGACTACAAGTTTCAATGAAGAAAACCTCATCTGCAGCACTCTGGACCTCTTTTTTGCTGGAACAGAGACAACATCCACAACCCTGCGCTGGGCTCTGCTCTACATGGCCCTCTACCCAGAAGTCCAAGGTGAGCACGTGGTGAATGCACCTGGGCAAAGCAGATTTCTGAGAGCTATGCCTTGGATAGGGCCAGAAGATAGCATGGTGGAGTGGGAAAAGGGGGGACAGCTGTGAAACAATGTGCACTGGGGAATTGGTATGTACTCTACATGTTCTGTCAGGATTGAGATGGGTCCCAAGGGTGCCGACATTTACAAAGTGCATCCGTTCCTGTCCTTCCATTTCACTAGGTCTTCCCATTTTACCCTGAATTCTGTCCAAACTGTTTATTCTTGTATTCTATGAACTGTGATATCACCTTCCTTTTTGCCTTCTCAGCCTGAACCCCATCTACCCTGTATGGTGCCCTTCCTATACCCTGTGTCCTTTTGGCCCTGTCCTTATTCTTCTTATTCTTGCCTCCAAGCCATTAAATCAAGAGTGTTCTATCACTGCCCATTCTAGAAGAATCCTTTCAGGTCCTAACTCCCTAAGTCATCTCAAATTCCTCGATTAATTTTATGACTGGAGAATTACTGTCATTTTCTGCCAGTGGTGACCAGATGTTCCTCCATGACTGTCCTTGACACATTGTTCCTGTCTTCACTGACTGACATTCATCAGGGAGAGTAGTGCATCCTATCACTTTTATTCCTTTGGATTCTAGAAAAGTTTAACAATTTGAGGATAGGAACATTTTCCTATTGTAGAACATCGTTTTTTGTTGCTGTTTGTTTTGTGTTTTCAAATTGTGGGTAACAGTTATACATGAGGTATAAAATCAATTTAGTAGATACAGGCCAAGGGCTTTTGCCTTAAGATGAAATTTGAATAGAGAAAATCAGTGTGCTTCCCATGTGGTAAAGAAAAATTTGTTTATAGAGCTATCACCCGTGTGTGTGTGTGTGTGTGTGTGTGTGTGTGTGTGTGTGTGTGTGTGTGTGTGTACATGTGGAAGCCATAGCCCAGCTGCAAGTATCATTCCTCAGGAACCATCCACTTTTTGAGACAACATCTCTCATTTTCCTGGAACTACACTCTCTAGCCACTAATCCCCAGGGATCTGTCTGCCATCACCTCCTATGGTGCCCTGGGATTAGAAGTACATAGCACCACACCCAGCTCTTTTACATGAAGTATAAGAATGCGACTCTGGTCCTCAAGCTTGCATGGCAATCCTTTTACTGACTGAGCTATCCTCCATGCCCAAATAATTTTCTTTATTTATTCAAAATGCATGTATGTACCTCTGTTTGTGTATATGCATCTTAAGTTTCAATTGAAATACATATGTACCTGAAGAATAATCTTTTTAAGTTTTAAAGCTACTGAGTTAGAATACAGACTTGACCTGTAGAATAATATCTTCAAAATATCAATGGATTTACATAAAGAATTACACACATTCATTTTGCAATATGCATAATAGTCAAGAGATAGGACTGGCTAGACTGTTCACTGCTCACAAATAGATGCATGATCTAGAGAAGCTCTTCAGCTGGAGGGAACGAAGTTCTGACGGTGCCGAGCAATGGATGAGCTATCAGGACACTGTGCTAAGTTAAATAACCAGTCACAAAATCACATGAATGGTTCTATCCAACTCAAATGAGCTATGTTGAATAGTTAAATCTCTATACAAAGATGGCTGAATGGAATAGGGTAGAACCAGAAATTGTTTAATGTCACAGAGTTTCAGTTTTGAAAGAACAAAAAAGTTCTGGCCATTGCTTGTACAACTGTAAGAACACACTTAACATTATTGAACTGTACAATTAAAAATGCTAACAAGAGCTTTAGCTGGTGGCACCCAACATTAGTCAAAATACTTGAGAGCCTGAAGCTGGACTGTCACAAGTTGGAGGTTATTTGGCTGCATATAAAGAACATACCCCTGAAGTTGTTATTGTGACAAGTTTTATGTTAAATATATGTTACCTCCAATTAACTTTTATATAGACAGTAGTGCAAATGATACACATTCATCTCTCTCTCTCTCTCTCTCTCTCTCTCTCTCTCTCTCTCTCTCTCTCTCTCTCTCCTCTTCTCTCTCTCAGCAGGACCTTGTAATAGGCTTGCTGTTACACATTCCCCTTAAATTGTTGCTGAGTTGAAACTAAAGTGAAGCTCACCTCTCTATGAGTGGGCACCCTGAGGACTCCTTCCCCTGGAAGGGAAGAGGAAAAGGAAGGAAGCAGACACTGTCTTAACAGGCCTTTCTCCAAAGATGAAACTCATGTTTATTTGCAATTTTTATTTTTTTATTTTTTTATTGTTATTTTTTTTTTTTTGGTTTTTCAAGAAAAGGTTTCTCTGTGTAGCCCAGGTTCCCTCCATAAATCAAGATGTCCTTGAACTCAAAGATTTAGTTATGGTCATTTTGGTCATTTACTGGCAAAGAAATCCAGGAATATCATTTTTAGCTAGATAACTGTTAAATCTCTATTAGCATATTGGAAGACAGGTAACAACCATTTTCATTTGTTCTTATGATTCTATCTGTTCATATATATTTCAAAACATCCTTAAGATAAGGCACAGTTATTCCCATTAATCAGATATGAAACTTAATTATAAAGGATCTCATTAGCAATGTTGTGCAGCAACTTCTTGCTACCAACTGGCCATGCTAATGTATCTCCTTGAGAAATTAGAGTCTACAGATGTGCCGTGGTCTGAATGTTCACTAATTCTCTATGAATCCACTTGTTGCAACTTAATTATTAGCACTATGGTGTTTGGAGGTGATTAGTCCTATGAAGGGAATTATTGCCTTTAAAAGAGGTAGCAGAGAAGCCAGGGGGTAAAGAATATTGCCACCTAGCCATTTGTCATGAGTACAGTTCTCAAAACCCACATGGTAGAAGAAGACAAAAAACTCCCACAGCTGTCCTCTGATATCCACTCTTGCCATGAGACACCTTCACCTGACAGAAATACACTATTCTGAAAAGCATGAAGTACTAAAGAGACTGCTTTTTTCCTATGACATGAGGACTAGTGAAACTTTCTCATCTATGAGATGGAAAATTGTTCGTAGCAGATGAGAAAAGTCTTGGTGCCCTACTTTTAGCATCCCCAGGCTCTAAGACTATGAAACATGAATGTGAGTTGTTTATATTCTGCTTTGTGAAAGGGACTTACTCGTACCACACTAGGTACTGCTCTGATATTAGCCATGCTGATCATAGCTATTCAGTTTGAGAAAATTAGGATTACGTTGTAGGTTCACAGAAAATCACAGAATTGGTGATTTTTATTTTAAATCAATCCTTTGAAAGGGTAAGGAAACTTCTTTACTGCTAGGTCACTAAAATGAAATAAAAGCAAGTAAGATCTCAAAGACAACTTCTATATTGTTAGAAGAAATAATTAAATTTGAAAATTAATAAGATTTCCTGTTTTCTTTCAGAAAAAGTGCAGGCTGAGATTGACAGAGTGATCGGCCAGAAGAGACAGGCAAGCCTGACCGACCGAGAGTCCATGCCCTATACCAATGCCGTCCTCCATGAGGTGCAGAGGATGGGCAACATTGTCCCCTTGAATGTTCCCAGGGAAGTGGCAATGGACACCAATTTGCATGGATTCCACTTGCCAAAGGTAACTATGCCCTCCCAGCCTCAGATAGCTTAGTCCATTTTTTACATCATCCTAAGAACCTAAACTAAAGGTTGACACATATTCCTGTCTCAAGAGATCATTTAAATTGTGCAGAGAGTATACCTGCTAAAATACTGGTTTCCCCCAATACATCTAAACAGAAATTTACAGATATAATGGGGAAAGAAGACTCCTTGGTCAAATGTGTGTAGGTAAAGCCTTTATTTGCTAAAGGCATCTTAGCATCTTCCTATGCTAATGTGGACTCACACCAATCAGCAGTTCTCTGCTAGATGTTGCTTGAGGAAGCAGTTCTCAAGACCAAGGGGCTACACAGGGTTTCCTGATACTTACACCCTCCATGCCCCAAATTGGTTACAATCCCTTCTGCTTTTCTTTTCACCATGGATTATCAGAAGTCAAAATTCTCTTGGCTGTGACAAAATACCCAAGATTTCAGTTCAGCATGGCAAGAAGAGGTGAAAGAAACAACCAGATCGCATAATGGTGGTGGCCAGGAAACAGAGAGACAGCCTACAGGAGGTGTTTTTGCCCCCACTTCCACCTTTTTTGTTTCATACAGGTTGTCAGCCTCTAGGATGGTGCTATCCATAGTCAGGGTAGATCGGCTACCATTGGCTCATTATCTCTGTAAATGTTTTCACAGATTCTAGCATGAGATGATGCAAACACACTACAGAGTATGTAATGAAAATGATGTGTAATCGTGTTCATGGCACACCTCCACTGTTAGCTGTTAGCTGCAGATGTGGATCTAAGATAGCAAGGGGCAGCCTGCACTAAGGTAGTTCTTGGAATTGGGAATGGACATGACAAAATCAAGAGAGATTGGAAGAGTGGGTTACATCACTGATAGAGTGGATGAGTCAGTGTGAGGTAAAGAGACACTCTGGGGAGTCCAGGTACCATGTCAGGGAGCATGATAAACTGAGCTTGCTTACTCTGCTTCCTTGATGTGCTCCTAACCCTGAAGACTGGGTTCAGAGTCCTCCATACTCAGGGCTAAGAATGGAAAAGCAGAGATGAAAGACTCATCATTTCCTTTCATAGACCTGCCAAGGTCCTCACTGTAGGAAATGGCTGAGTTGGTCTTTATTTCTGCCGGCCTCATTATTCTTCCTTGGATACTAACATGTCTCTTCCTAGAACTGTATAGACTTCTTCCTATAGACTTGTGTTCAGCATAAAAAGCAACTTAATGAACTGGAAAATCCCCAGAAGGCACTCACAGTCATTGTAAATTTATCTAGATAAAGGAGAGGTACTGAGTAGAGAGAGTCATGCATGAGAGCTCAAGATCTATCTACCTCTTTACCTTGCAGGTCTATTCCATATATCAAGCCTTGACTCTTTGCTATCATTTCTAGGGTACCATGCTTCTAACCAACCTAACTGCACTACACAGGGACCCCAAAGAGTGGGCCACCCCAGAAACCTTCAATCCAGAGCACTTTTTGGAGAACGGGCAATTTAAGAAGAGAGAGTCCTTTCTGCCATTCTCAATGGGTGAGTTTCGATAAGCAGGAGAGTTCAGAGCTCCACTGTAGCCATTCACTGCTCTCGTTTCCCATAGTCCTCTGGTTTAATGAAAATATCTCCAGATGGCCCAATGTGACTCCATTTTGCTTTTGGTTGCAATCCTGCATTCTCTGGCCTTGGTGCTGCTTCAGACCCACCCTAATTCTCACCCTGTCTTGCCTTAGCTGGGTGTTTCAGATTGTTTCATTGTTTTCCAAGCACTAAGAATAGAGACCTATACTCTGTCCCCTCTTCACTAAGGTGGATATGTGCCACCTTCATAAGACTATCCAGGGATGCACTCTCACAGGGGAATGGAGTTGATTTGAAATGCAATGGTGAGGAGAAATGGAAGAATGGTTGCCTATTCAAAACAATGGAAACATGAAATGATAATTGTAAATAGCATTTACTTGACTGGATTGAGTTCTGTTTTATCCAGGAACTCCTTGAATAGTTAAGTCTTTTGCCTTTTATAGTTTTAACTATGCTTTAAAAAAATCTAGTTAGATGTATTTGTGCTCTGCAACTTGATGGTCAGGGAAGGGGATAGAGGGCTGACCCTATCACTAGTGTTTCCCAGCCAGCCAGTTATAAATAAAAACTTGTAGTCATACAATTGTTGAACCAGTAACAAAATGCCCTAGTGTATTGCAATTATTGGCTACTATGCTTTGCATATGTATTTTCAAGTAATTCTGCACTTCCTTAGTTCCATAAGTAAGTACTGAGCATATATGTCCAGCATACAAATGAGAACAGGAAAGTAGTGGGATAGAAGAAGCAAAGATGCCCCTTGGAGCATGCCTCCCCCTACAGCCTTTCCAGTTGAAATTAGTCATCACTGCAGAGGTAAGGACACAGATCTAGCCAAGTATGCTATAGCTAGAGCTCAGTGTCCACCAGATTTTCTCCCACTGAAGCTTGTGTTTCCAAACACTGTCTCAGAAGGTGACTAAATGCTGCCCAGAAGCCACACTGGAATGCTGGACATGTTGTTGAGTTGGTCAGATTATCTGAGGCAGTGTCACTTCTTATGACACTGAGGCTCAGGAAGGGAGGAACTTGAATTTTCCCCATGCAAGTGTGGATTCAGAGACAGTGTTATTTTGGGCTGGGCTGCCCTGGGTGTGTCTGGCAGGACTAGTTCTGACTTCTTTGTATTTCCATCTGGGACTTTTGTTTACTGTTCACAACTCACTTTAATAAGAAAGCTGATAAAATATAGGGACTCTGTCCAGTCTTCAGCTGCATACTTCACTTATCAACTATTCTTTTCCTTTGTTGTTTTTTTATTTTTATTGAAAATAGATTTTTCTCTTATACAATGCATCCTGACCACAGTTTCCCCTCCCTCCATTCCTCCCAGCTCCTCTCCATCACCTCTTTCCCCAAGATCTACTCCCCATCCTTTTCTTCTTCAGAAAAGAGCAGGTCTCCAAGAGACAATGGCCAAAGAGGACAAAACAAAATACACTATGACAAGGCAAAGACCCTTATACTGAGGGTGGACAAGGCAACACAATAGGAGGAAAAAAGTCTCAAGAGCAGACAAAAGAACCAGAGATACATCCACTTCCATTGTTTAGAGTCCCACAAAAACACCAAGCTGCCAGCTAATATGCCCTGGTACAGACCCCATGCAGGTCCTTTGCTTGCCATTTCATTCTCTGTGAGCCCATATGAGCCCTGCTTAGTGGATTTGGTGGGCCATGAACTCCTGGTGTCCTCCATCCCCTCTGACTCTTAAAATATCCACTTCTGCGATTTCCTGGATTCTGAGGGGAAAGACTCAATGGAGACTTCCAAGTTAGACTCTCTTCCTTCATAATGCCTGGCTGTGGGTCTCCACACCAGCTCCTGTCTGCTGCCAGAGGAAGACTCTCTGATGACAACAGGACAAGGTAGCAGTCTATGAGTATAGCAGAACACCATTAGAAAAAACAATTTTTTTTTGCCAGTCCAGTTTGATTCTACCCTAGGATTCCTTTAGTTTATGAATCCAGTTCATGAACTGGGAAAAGTCTAGAAGTATGACCATTTTTATATTCCAAACAAATGCTTTGTGTGGTATTTGTAACCCCATCCATGGCTTCCCCAGGAAGATGTTCCATCAAACCCACTGCTGCCCACGCATATGCCTCTTCTTCATTGTGCAAAGTCCTCTTCCCTTGGGAGTTCATGGCTTATCAGTTTAAACTGTTCTTCCATCTGCATCAGCTGTAAAATAAAAGCGACAACACAGAGAGACTCACCGAGAATTACAATATTTCCTCTTAATTACTGACTTCATTAGCAGGCAAATTATCTCCGACAATCACAACAGCATTGCAATTATTAGTAATTATGGAGGAAAGCCATTAGTGTCTACTTTCATCTAATAAGTAAATCTTAAATAAGAAAGGGGTTCCTATTTTAGACCATACACACACAGAAGTGGCAGAACAGCACCCATGTTTTTACTCCCAGTTGAGTTCTCTCTGAATAACAAGCAAATTTAAGTGGCCTCTCTAGTTATGGACCCTTCAAGTTTAAGATTCACTGAGTCCATAGTCTGTGTATCAGCTAGCATCTTGATGCATAACAAGCACTCCAAACTCTACCACATAGTAAGAGCCTGTTGCTGCTCACAGGGTTCCAGATTGGTTCAGCAGCTTGGCTCCTCTTGGTTAGCCTTCTGGCTGACTGCTGGTTTATGGTGACCCCAGTTGAATGGCAGACATCTTCGCACATTATCTCTAGCCCTCTAGTAAACCAGCTGTCCATTCTTATTGTGGCAATCGTGTCCCAAGAGGGAAAACAGAAGCACATAGGCCTGGTGAGGCCCAGTCTTAAACCTTGTGGTGACAAGTCACAATTCAAGGGAAAAGAAGACACAACACTTCAGTCTGTTTGGAATAGCATAGAGGTCATGGTGCCCATAATGTGGAACCAAGGATAGATGAAGATTATCCCTGTTTTATTGTCATCATCTCAATTTATGATGGAGAAAAATAAAATTCTCTATAAAAACCAGTAAAACTGAACATGATAGGCAACCCTCAAAAACCTGCTCAGGTACCAAAGCAAAGTGATTTTTTTTTTTTACCAGTTTCAGTTTTTTTACCATCCTGATGCCTTTTCTTGCCAATTCTATAAGTTTCAAAGGAAACCACTTTGGGAAAATAGAGTGCATTTGGAAGATTTTTCTTTCCTAGGAAAAGATAACTAGAAACAAAGTTATTATCTGTGCCTCATCACTGAAGATGAAAAACTCTACTTCCATGAAAGTGTTCTCTTTTATGCCTTCATCTGTGTGAGTCAACAAACTTAACAGTTTTATAATAGGAAAGAGTGGCAGGTTTTCTATTTACAATTGTCATCAGAGAACATAAGGGCAGAGTTTGTGAAGACTATTGGTGATAGATCTAGGTCAACCCTCTTATTTCACTCAATAGGTCATTTTTCTGGTTTTTGGTGAAAGGGAACGGGTCCAAGCTGCCTTTAGCCCAGACTGTATCTGTCAGCTTTCCCTCGCTGAAACAATATCTGTGAGGAACAACTTCTCAGGAGAAGCTTTGTTTGGTTCATGGTTTCAGAGGTCTCAGTCTGGTCATGTGACCTGTACCTGAGGTGAGACAGAGCATTTGTTGTAAGTGTGTGGTGAAAGAATGTCACTACCTCATAGGGACCAGGAATCAAGGAAATAAGGCCTCCAGGTTCCAGATATCCTATCAGGGGCATGGCTTAAAGACCTGCCTTAGGTACATGTATTTAATTTTCTACCCTTTCCCAGTAGTACATCAGTTGGCAACCAAAACTCTAACTTGGAGCACCTGATGACAAGTGAAAAAGCAAAAAAAAATTAAGCTACATACATTCAAGTTACATGGCCTAGGTGAATGCTGTAGTATCACTCAAGTTTCCCAATTGAGTGACTATAGTCCACAAGGTAGTGTGCGCATGCACACACATACACACATAAAGCACTGATAGTGCATCCTTGAAGCGATGTAACCTTTACTGTGTATACTAAGAAATGGACTAGTAAAAGCTATATATTGTGAACTTCCCCATCTCAAGGGAATAGGTTTTGTCTTGTCAACCATTCCAGTTTTCTATTCTTCTTCAGTCTTTGAAACCCTCCATCCATAGTAAATCAAGAAATGTCAGACTTCTCTAGCTCACTCAAAGTAGACCACCTTTCGATGCACATTTCATATACCCTACCAAATTACCCTTCCCCACCCTTAATTAACTCTGAAATTTATAGCATTAAATGCATCCTGGGAAAATTGAAGAGATCCTATCTCAAATGAAATGGTTAAAAGAGAGACAGGGGTGTAGCTCAGTGAAGGTATACTTTCAAGAATATGCAAAACCCTAGATTCAGCAATTACTAGGAAGAGAGAGAGACAGACAGAGAGACAGAGACAGAGAGAGAGAGAGAGAGAGAGAGAGAGAGAGAGAGAGAGAGAGAGAGAAACCGAACAAGTGAAGTGGGGGAGGCAAGAAAAGAGAAAAGAATAGGAAAGCAAAGGAGGAAATAAATAAGAAGAAACACCAACATCCTCACTGGTCGGCATTGTCAAGGGACAGACTGTACACTGTTGTAGAGGAATTTCTAAGCAGTCTTATTAAATAAGAAACACAGAGCCAAATACACAGGTAATAGCCAAAGAGATCAGAGAACTAGCAAAGAGTTCTCACCACTGCCTTATTTTACCACCTCATCCCCATGGCTTCCCCAGAGAGACCTTCTTCCTGTATAACCTGTGTTTTTATTGCCTTTCTGTTCTGCTTTCTCATTGGCTCTAAGCCCAGCCACATGACTTCCTCATCACTGCCTGTCAATACAGACCTCCAGGTCTCTATGGTTGGTACTGGGATTAAAGGTGTGTGTTACCATGCTTGGCTGTGTCCTTGACCACACAGAGACTCTGCCTGCCATGTGATTGGGATTAAGGGTGTGGGCTACCACTGCAGGACTTCTGCTTATGGCTCGCTATGTGACCTCTGATCTCCAGGCAAACTTTATTTATTAACGTACAAATAATATCACATTTCAGCACAATTAAAATATCCTCACACACTGTATGTGCTACTAGTATGAGTGTTATTTACACAGTCACTCGTAGTGCCAAAATGGCCTTTAACAAGTTGGAGAGTAGGGAAAAGAATAGAAATCAATGGCTGTTCAAAAAGCACTTGCCAGTTTGTACATCACAGTAAACTTCTATTTAGTTAAAACAGCTATTCTGAGGCTTTGGGCTCTGTTTTGGATTTTACACTATTACTCTCTTACTCTTTTCTTTTTCCACTAAAAATGTATATTTAGAAAGAATGGAAGCTAGTAGCAAGTTACTTAAGGTAGCTGACATGGTAGCTCAGCTGGTAAATTGGTTGTCTTACAGCATAATGTCCAGATTTGATCCCTAGAACCTGACAGAACGCTATGTATGTCAGCATATTCTTGCAATCGTTGTGCTGGCTGACCAGAGACAAAAAGACCCTGGGACTCACTGGCACGTCAGCGTAGCCTGATTATCAGTGACACTGTCTCAAAAACAAATACATACATAAATAAATAAAGTGGATGACACTTGAGGATAAACACCCACAGCTGGCAACTAACTTCTACAAATTTGTGCACACAGTGTACACACAATGGGCACACATATGCACAAACACGTCTACACAAATATGGGCTTAAAGATGGATGAGAGACTATGCAGAACTCTGCAGGGCTGTTGGGATGCATGGTGAGGATGTCCACTGAGGGAGGGAACAGTGGCATGCTAGGGTTGTCCTGGACCATCAGACACCACTGGTGTGAACCCAGGTATTCAATAGAGAGACCAACATGTAGGTACAGAAATGAATATTGATACAAATACATATGTCAATGCACACACTTAGATATAAACACCAGGTGCATGTGTGTATGACATGAGGTGACCTACAGCAATGGCTTCCACAGTTGTGAGAATGCCTCCTGCCAGGTCTTACCTTCCACATATCAGTAGTCAATGCAATGAACCAGGAAACTTGGGAAAATGACAATTTCCTGGGCTGGCAAAGTGAAAACACAAGTGTGGGACATATTATTGGGCCAAGGTCAGGAAATTCCACCTTGAATGGGGATTCAATGGCCAAATCAGCAAGAAGTTAGACATAACCAGTGAGACACAAAGTCTAAGGTCAGCTCAGTATTTACAGTGTGAAGTTGGGGACACCAGTCCCTCCATGCACTAAAGTCAGCTGAGAAAGTGACTCATCATCTGTTTTTGTCCTGCAGGAAAGAGAGTTTGCTTGGGAGAACAACTGGCCAGGTCTGAGCTGTTCATATTCTTTACTGCTCTCATACAAAAGTTTACCTTCCAGCCGCCCATCAATGAGAAGCTGAGCCTGAAGTTCAGAATGGGCCTGACCATTTCCCCAGTCAGTCACCGCCTCTGTGCTATCCCCAGACTGTGATGCTGGTGAAGGAAAGAGAAAAGAGTACAGAGAGAGATGGTGTATGCCCTGACGCTGCTGGACTTTGCTCACATGAGAGGAGAGCAATGTCAAAGAATGAAGGTGATTCAAGAAATATTGAAGAAATTGGACTAAGAAAATTGAATTAAATTTCTGGACTGTTGACCCCTAGTTTGGTGGTGGGCAAATCATTTATGAGCTCAATGGCATATCTTTTTATCTAAAAGTTGCAAGGAGAATGATGATTCCTCTCATAAAGAGAATTACTGAAAATGAATTGCTGAATTAAAAATGCTAAGTGCATCACGATTCGCAGCTCAAGAGGTGTGCGTTCAATTTGCCTTCTTCCTCCTTTCCTAGGCATGCGTTTGTTTCTGGCCCATTGAAATGTTGTTTAAAGTGGTGCAAAGAGAGAATAAGGATCAGAGCTGTGTTTCTGGCTGCATCCACAGGAAAAGGCCATGAAGACTTTTGCAAATGACAGATGTGTCCCTCACATGTAGCTCTGTCTCCAAGTATCCTGGAAAGCATCCATTTGAGTTTCCTCTATTGAGACTTTTTTTAAATTTAGATCTGTACTCCATTTTTAATTTTTTTTGACATCACATTTCTAGAGTTCTTTATATGTTTTGGATATTAGTCCTCTATCAGACATGGAGTTGGTAAAAATCTACTCCCATCCTGTAGGCTGCAGCTGGTGTTTTCTTACTTGGTAAAATTATATTGCTTTCCTAGTACCCACATACACTCATGGTGTCTCTCTAAATGTGGAAGCCAAATGCTAGAAATCACTTCCTTTACTTGGTAAGAATAGATGCCACTGGACTTTGAAATCAAGAATCATGATAATATATTCAATATTTATTATAATTCATCAATAGCATATATCAGATGTCAGTGGTGAATATGAGAAGTTGCAGGCCTTACCATTTCGGAGCACATATTCTAGTCTTGATGGGATTGGAAAAAATCGATTATAAACCCACAAATAAATTGGTGTTAGTGTTCCCAACTTGAGGACGAATGCCAAAAACAAAAATTTAAAAACATGTACAGCTGTGAACACCTTTCCTCACCTTCATAACTGCACAGCAAATTTCAAGGGAAGGGAATTATTTCAGAAACTTCCCAGTGGTGACTTCTCTCTGCTATGTGACAGGTGCTGCACCCTTATAAATCTGGCCACCCCCACTGTTAAGGTTCAAAGCCCGGACAAAAGGCTGATGTGCCTATTTGCATATCAAAGCAGACCTGGCCTCCAGGTACTTCCAGCATCCCTTAGCCTCTACCTGTTACAGGATATGGTTGGCACACCCTACCTAGATGTCCAGCCCAGGGGCTGGGCTGCCCCTCCCTTAGATGCTCTTCCTTATATAATGAAGACATTTAGGTTACTTGCCACTTTTTGTACCTTCAACCACCTGGCTGCTGCACCTGGTTCCCCTCTTTCCTCTCTCCCTCCCCACTCCTGACACAGCCCAGCTCAGTCTGATCATGTCCACTCTGAACTCTCCCAGATATATGACCATGCTCTCCCACATATCTGTAATAAACTTTCTCTCCCACCATATACCTAGGAGCATTCATGTCCTTTCCTTTTTATTTCTTTTTTTTTTTTTTCATTCACTCACCCCACCCCCACACACAATCTCTCTCCTCTGAAAAGGTGATGTGTGGTGCACCCCTTTAATCCCAGCACTGAAGAGGCAGAGGCGGGTGGATCTCTGAGTTTCAGGACAGCCTCGCCAACATAATCATTCCAGGCCAACCATAGCTACTTAGTGAGACCCTCTCTCAAAATAATAAATAAAAATGTGAGGCCACTTGCTAAGATCTTGCAGCCTTTCTACCTCACAGCTCTCACAAAGGGCCTAATCAACCCTCCTCCTCTGGTGCCAGTGACCAGAGACATGTAACATAGGCCACATTTTAATTACCTTGTCTCCTGCTTTGGGACCTCCAACCCCCTCAGAACCTTTAAGAATGGACTTTACTTTGTTTTTTTTATTATTATTACTTTATTTTATTTTACAATACTATTCAGTTCTACATAACAGCCACAGATTCCCTTGTTCTCCCCCTTCATGCCCCCCT